CCGGGGAAAGGCGGCTAGAGCGCGACGCCCGCGCGGGCGCCCCAGCCGCCAGCAGCACGCCGAGCCCCGCCGACCTGCCAAGTCTCGCCCAGACGGGGCTCTGCATGGCAGCGTCGCCCCGGAGCGAGGGGTGGTGGTGGTGGTGAGGGGACGGAGGGCGGGCTTCTGGGGTTGGAAATGCCGGGTAGGCGCACACCCAGTCCTTTCCAAGGCCCCCAGCCGCGACTTACTCGAGTGGAAGGAAGCAAGGCCTCGCCAAAGATGGTTGGAAAAACCCGTGAGCCTCCACCGGGGATCTTGAAGCAAAGGTGGTGTTTTGTTATCCTCGGAATGGTTGCGAATAAGTAAGAAGAGAGGATGCTATCGTCGGATAAATGAAAGCTGAAATTCTCCCTGGAGGTGGAAGAAGGGGCTCTTGGAGTTAGTTAGTGGTTTGGAGCCCTTTTCGCCTTAAACGGAGCCACAAAAGAATGGAAGACACCCCCTGGGGTGGGGAGAAAGCCCTGGTGTAAAAGACACACGTTTCGCTTGCAGAGAAAAAAAATACACACTTGGCTAGATTGAAACATGGCATGTTCAGTTCATGTAGGTTTTTTGGTGTGTGTGTGTGTATGTTTAATGGGGAATGATATTGAGTAAACAAGATACAATAGCTAGATCTTTAAATCAAAAGGGGAGATGGTCTATAAATGTAACAAGCGCACGTTGTACATACAGCAGGTGGTCATGGCTCCAGAACACAAAAGATACAGATATAAACCTGCTAAAGGCCACAAAGGTGCACAACGGCAGCACATGGGAGGAGAGAATATCAAGATTTCCATTCCAGAGCACATTTAACCAACCCTGTGCCCTGCTTCCTATATTGTTCACAGACATTCACGCATTCGACACGATTTCAAAACGAGAGAGAAAACTCAAGTCAAGAGCATGATGATTCCACTGGAAATAAGACAAAATGGAAGGAACTGGGGAGGAAAAAAAATGTCTTCCTAATCTCTTTAAAAGGCTCCTTCTTTTTGATCAGACTCTGCAGATGCAAATTTCCCTGAGGATTCCCAGCACAGGACGCATTTTGTTGTTTTCTTGTATTTGAAATGAGAATACTTAGTTAATATTTGCAAAGTGTACTGAGAAGTTTTTTGTTTTGAAATCTCAGTATGTCTCTCCCTCACATTAACGTCCAGGAGAAAGCCATTGTTCTCTGTTAAGAGGAGCTCTGTATGATGTAAATTGCAAGTAGCATTTTTGCTATTTAAAGACTTCATGTAAATGACCTGAATTATTGTCTCATTTTAGAGTTGGTAGCCTTTCATTTGAAACAGCAAATTGTTTGGAGTTGCACATAAATTGGAATACATATTTACTTACACACGTTTAGAAAGACCAGTGCTGTCTGCAAAGGTTGCCAGCCACAGCATCGCGTTTATCAATGTTACAAAGATGATGAAATTGAAGCAGCACTTCTTTTAGGTTGAAATACCGTGCCAGCATTCTGTGGGTTGCAGTTGCAACTTTACCTGGGCTGTATTTCATTTCAAAGGAAGCCTTCTGCCTTCCCCCAAAGGTGGGCCTTTATTAATATGCATGTAAAAAATACAATATGCATGGAAAGGTATACAAGGATCTGCTCATTTGAAGCCCTGATATGCTCAACATATTGCTATATATGGGATTTCCTAATGTATGTACCAGAGTAAATCCTAGGTTTCACGGATTTAGAATCTTTGTTTACTTTAGATGCTCTCTCCTGCCCCTCCCCCATTCCTTGCTCTTAAAAGAGTTGAAAGCATGCAAAAGGGCGTCTGAATGGTTGTAAGAGTTGAACTACCAAAACTATAGACTGAATTGCTTATCATAAAGAGTGTTTAGCCGGCTTCATAATGCCAAACCCGTTGGAATAGGTCTCTGTTCAAACCCCAGCGCTTTGGTCAAGCTTCAGCTGGAGGAAATTGTTTTAAAAGCACAATTCATCATTCACACAAACTGCAAAGGATAGCACTGCATGTGCTTTTAAAACCAGAAACAACCCACAGTCAAAGATAATGATTTCTTGCAAATTACCCCTGTTGCATTTTTACAAAGAGGATCTCAGAGAACCCTCTCTGCCAGGTAGACAGACATCCATCTTGTTCCATTCCTCAAAACAATCAAATTTCACCGCTGAACAAGACGTTTTCATATTACAAAATTTTTTTAAAAGAGCAGACTCTATCTTTCTTCTTAAAAAATCAATACAAAAGTCCATTGTCTTCTCCAGATGCAAGGCTACCTTGTGCACAACTCTGTTTGGGGCTACAATAGAATCAGTAACCTGACTATGCAAGAATCAAAGAAACTATTATTGGAGTGCTGTAGATAGCCGGACAGAACAAAGAAATCGTACGATGCTTATGCCAAATAGAAACTAAAGGCATTCCAAATCCTTTGGGATTTTGTTGTTGCTGTTTTTATTGCTAACCTCATTATCTTAGTTTTTCCTCCAATCAGAGTACTGCAAAAGCTCAGCTTTTTAAAAGAAAATTCTTTTGTGGTTTGAAGTGGGTAGGTATCAGTCCACATGTCATAATTTCCCTCCAAATTCCACCCTGAAATTGGGAAATTCCTTTGTTAGGCAAAGCACACAAAAAGGTATGTTCCTGGAGGGGGAGGAGAACAAAACAGTAAAAACAACCTTTTCTGTATCTCACCATCAAAAGATCTTGCAAACTATTCCTAAACTAAGCCCTGTCTTGAGCTACACACGTTAGTTCAAAACTAAGGT